CATATGACCTTAACTAACCAAATCACTTTATACTTGATCAAAAAGGCCAGATGTAGAGTATATATACCACCATTTAGGGATTTGCCGATGAGTTTTCTTGACCCGTTAGCTTGAATTTTGTTGTGACGATGATGTGACCTGATGATGTCCGTCATATGATGGACGAAAGCTTAGCACCTTTTTACGGGAATCGAAGGAGATTGCCTCGGAAACAACGTCAGCATGAATCTTCCAGTAAAGCCAGTTGACAGCTGATCAAGAAAAATCCGCCGTCGTCACTCTACCAGGATCCTTATGCTGTCATCGTGTAATCTTACGACAAAGATAGGCGAATGACTGAGGAGGTAGGACATCAGGACCATTTATGAAGAGAAAATAACACTGTCCTCGATATTACCCTCCTCCGTCCAATGGCAGACGAAACCTCAGCAAGGATTCATCGGGGTCGCAAGATGATGCGCCGGGAACCTTTTTGCACAAATCTACAACCACAGCTCTAATGCAACCCCCCCAGCATCCGGTAAATCAACTTACGAATCCCTTCCACTCACCTCTTTAAACGAAATGAAATTTACTCAAACATGAATCTATTAAGGGATTCTTCGAAACCCAGTTTTTGTACAGCCTCTTTTCACCCGAAACAAGGAAGTTCTCGTGGACTGCGTTAGCCTGAACGTCGTATAAAAGCCAAACGGCTGCAGTAGAACGCGATTCATCTGTCCTGTTCCGGTGAGATCGACCTACCAATCTCTGCTTCATGCAGTTTTATGAAATGAAAGTCCCCTAAACAAAGTTATCTCAGTAATCTCATCAGAACCGAGGCACAGGCAAACGAAGGGCCAATGAATTCGTGGACATCCTGCCATAAATAAATATAATGGGAGCGATCCTAGCTAAGGCTATGGCACATGTCTTACCATATTTTCTGGAGGAATTCTAGTAAATTATTCAACATGATGTAAACCGATTTTGAAATCAGAGGTTTAAAGAGTCAATTAGAAAGTTTTTTAAATGCATATTAGAGAACAATTGACAAGTTGGGTGGAGAAGGCGGCTAGATAGAAGAATTGATTTGGCCCCAGAAGCCATGCAAACACCTTATAAAGGTAGCAAAGGTGAGTAAGCATGATTAAATTCATTTGAAGTGAATGTCTTTTAAAAAAATATGCAAGAAACGAAGACATAGGTGTAAATAGATAAATTGGAAATTGGAAGTGAGTTTGAGAAATAGGAATGCAGAGCTAGGAGCTATAATAAGAAAGAATAGAGATACTACAACAATTGAACAGATAATTGTTTATAGGGATTGTCTTCAATTATCATTTTGATAGATTATGATTGTGTCAAGGATGGCGCTTTCCACTAAAGCAGCTGGAGAAAAGTCAGAGGATGTAACAGATTAAGGGTCAGATGCTAAAAATTAGCAAAATACTATGGCGGATGACGCCGGACTAGGTATATTCAACAAGGTCCCCCTGTCACTCTGACCAAGTTGCGAAACGCCGTCAAACCAACGCTATACCTGGGACTACTCATACTGGTTGCCATATGGTGTGCCATTAGCAGTAATGCACTTTCAGTGGCCTATGCCGGGGCATTTGGAAATAAAACAGAAGTATAAATAATTTTAGATACCGGGGACAGGCTTCGAACCATCAAAAGCGGCAAGGTAAGTGTGGTAACATCGTAGTGGAAGCAGGTTCTTAGAACTGCCGAAAGAGCAGCATGCAGTCGGCTAGACTGCCGGAGACGATCTCCTTCACCTTCAGCAGCCTCATCGACAACTAGGTGAAAAACGAGACTTATGCCACCGCCACCTCCGGCTAAGCCGCCTCCGCTACCACCAGTTAGATTGGAATGCCGCGTAATATAGACGTCACCAGGGAAGCAGCAGGCACGATTTCCGGAAGTTTGGGAAGTAGCAGGCACAGCTGAGATATACCCGTGAGGAGAAAGAAAAGGAAAGATAGAGAAACACCAAAAATATAAAATTAGCTTTTATACCATTTAAATATTTATTATCCTAAACAAGCCTAGGATTAATCGAAAATATGAAGACCCTCGGTATGGTTGCAGTCTCCTTTCGATGCATAGAAATGGGTTGACCTCGCATTAGCAACTTGTCAAAGCCCTCCTTAATAGTAATTATCATAATTTTCAGCGTAAGATCGTGTACTTGGTAC